ACGCAACCTAAGAGACAGTAATAACCATAAAATTTTTTTTTAAAAAAATATGTAATCCTAAAAGACACTAATAACCATAAAATATTTTTTCTGCAAACAAAACCCTAGCATTAATAACCATAAAATGGTTATTTTTAAAAAGAAACAACCCTAAAATATATTTCTCAGGATTACTATTATTGATAGACGTGATCTTTTAAAAAAAAAATCTAGAATTATTATTTAAGTAAAGAACCAAAATATTATGAGACTCTAAAATAATTTTTGACGTTTTTTATCACATCATGTTGTGAGTGAATTTTAAATTTAGTAATCATAAATGAAAAAAAAACGTTCAATGAAACAAATATATAGAGTTTGAAAAACACAAATATATATAGCAGTGTTTTTTGAAAAGATGCAACCATAGAGATTAAAAACCATAAAACGTTTTTTTCGAAATGGTGCAATCCTAAAAGACACTAATAACCGTAAATAGAATATCTTGAAAAGATGCAACCCTAGCAATAAAAACCATAATATTAACGGTATTTTTTTGAAAAAATGCAACCCTTGAAAATAACCATAAAGTGGTTATACTAAAAATACGCAATTTTTAGAAATCGGTTACTTTTGAAAGGACATAATTACAAAATAGTTATATTGAAAATGCGCAGCCCTTGGAAATAACGATAAAGTGGTTATATTAAAAAACGCAATCTTTGAAAATAACAATAAAAGGATTATTTTCGAAAAAAACACAACCATAAAGCGGTTATCTACATATTAAATGCAACATTTAGAAATAATTAGAAAGCGATTATATCAAAAAGACGCAACTCTTGGAAATACCATAAAACGGTTTTTTTCTGAAGGACACAATCTTAAATAACCATAAAGCAATTATATAAAAAAGGCAACTTTTAAAAAAGAGGTTATATAAAAAAAAAAAGACAACTCTTAGAATTAATTATAAAACGGTTATATTCAATAAACACGATCTTTCAAAATAACCAATAAACGATTTTCCCAAAAAGATGCAATTTTTGAAAATAACTATAACTCGGTTATTTTCGAAAGAATACAACCATAAAACGGTTATCTATATAGTAGATACAAATCTTTAGAAATAACCATTATACGATTACATCGAAAAAACACAACTCTTTAAAAAAACGGTTATATAAAAAAGACGCAACCCTTGAAAATAACCATTAAACGGTTATTTCCGAAAAGATACAACCTTAAATAACCATAAAACGGTTATATCGTAAATGCAATTTTTATAAAATCGGTTATATGGTAAAACGCAACCCTTGGCCCAAAAAAAAAATGTTTTTCCTTCCGCACTCATTTCACGGATTGGAACCATAGCTATTCGTCAAACCAATAGAACAATTCAGATTTTTAGGCCATTTAAATTGATTCATTTTTAATTTAGAATTTTTAAATCGTCCATTGCATATAAAAAATATTGTTGATAACCAAATTGCCTCTATTTTGTAGTAATGTTAACGCGGCTTCAATATTTCGATGTATTACAACCCGTAAAAATTTCTTTCAAATATAAAAATCAATGTTTCCGTGGAGAATTGTTAGATTTTATTAGTTTTTTTTTATATGTAAAATTTGCCATAAAATCTGCATTGTCTAAAAAAATCCAAAATTGAATTTTTGGAACTTTTACAATAGTAAAAAGTTTATTTCTATTAAATAATTAAATTTAATCGAACGACTTTTTTTTATCTTTGCTATGTGTTAAGTGAATTACAGAAACAGTAGGCATGATTAACAAAATGTTCAACGGGATAAAAAAGTAAAAATATATACTCCCTCCGTTTCAAAATATAAGTTGTTTTAGTTAAAACTATAACTTGTCGCGACTATTAAGAAACTACTTTTCTT